ACACTATAGAGGCAACACCTTTACTGAGACAACTGAGACATAACTCACCTAAAGTGTACAACTTCATAACTTTTGGTATAGTCACAGACTTGTGCAACCACCACCACAATCTAATTTTTTACTATTTTATCACATCAAAAAGAAACCCTGTAACCATGAGCGGTCACTTCACTATTCCCTCATCTCTAAACAACCACCAATCTACTTTCTATCTCTACAGATTTGCCTTTTTCAATGCTTTTTATAAATGAAATCATATAATGTGAGGCCTTTTGTGCCTGGTTTCTTTTTTTAAAAATATATTTTAATGAAAACACATTTTCACTATCTTTAAATAAAAATAATTTGCATTTTTTAATTTGAAGCTGCTCTGGCATTAGGACTTAATTGCGTCCTGCTCCATAGGTTTCAGATGCCACTAAACCACTAATTCCTCAGTGCTCTTGAAGCACATGTTAGACATGCCCTCTTCTGCTGGAAGTCCTTGTGGCAACTTGAGGGGCTTGATTCTTATCAAATGTTTAACTACTTTCAGTTTTGCATTCACTGAAGGGATATTATGAATTTGATGTGCTTTTTCTCATCTTTTTCCCAATATGTATGACTTTTTGTACTTTTTATTCTGGTTAACAATATGTAGTTTATGAGGGTTCTGTGGATTCCCAGAATACTTTTCATGATTTGCAGGTGATGGCTGAAATACTTTACCTGGAATTCTTTTTTTTTTTTTTTTTTGAGACAGAGTCTCACTTTGTTGTCCAGGCTAGAGTGAGTGCCATGGCTTCAGCCTAGCTCACAGCAACCTCAAACTCCTGAGCTCAAGCAATCTCAGTGCCTCAGCCTCTCAAGTAGCTGGGACTACGGGCATGTGCCACCATACCTGGCTAATTTTTTCTCTATATATATTAGTTGGCCAATTAATTTCTTTCTATTTTTATAGTAGAGATGGGGTCTTGCTCTTGCTCAGGCTGGTTTTGAACTCCCGATCTCGAGCAATCCGCTCCCCTAGGCCTCCCAGAGTGCTAGGATTACAGGCGTGAGCCACCGCACCCGGCCTGAAATTCTTAACGTAGTAAATTTGTGATAAATCCAATGTGTCACACCTTTTGTCCCAATCTATATAGTCTACATGAGAGGGCCTCTGAACTACTGAGGGTAAAATTCCTGCCATAAAAGTGTAGTGATTGTTCTCTTTACAGGCAGTTTTCACCTAATGTTCAGCCTGAACTTTCCCAATAAGAAGCCAAGCAGAGGAAAAAACTCTGGTTTCTTTCATTTAGCATAAAGTTTTTAACCACTTCGGTATGGTGCTCACTGGCTGCGAAACCTTGCCCACAGTTGGCACTCATAGTCCGCACAATAGTTTGTGCTGTCCATTGACGATGAATCCGTTTTGCTCTTGTGTGATGAGGAAAGCTTGAAAGCACTGAAGCTTGTTTTACTTTACAGGCAGCTTTACTTGTAATGTAAATCAGAATAGGTAACATATACATATATGTTTTCATTACATTATTTTTAAATGTTCACAATTTTATTTTTTATTTTATTTTTTTTAGACAGTCTCGCTTTGTTGCCCAGGCTAGAGTGAGTGCCGTGGCGTCAGCCTAGCCCACAGCAACCTCAAACTCCTGGGCTCAAGCCATTCTCCTGCCTCAGCCTCTCCTCAGCTAGCTGGGACTACAGGCATGCACCACCATGCCCAGCTAATTTTTTCTATATATATTAGTTGGTCAATTAATTTCTTTCTATATATAGGAAAGACAGGGTCTCGCTCTTGCTCAGGCTGGTTTCAAACTCCTGACCTTGAGCAATCCTTCCGCCTCAGCCTCCCAGAGTGCTAGGATTACAGGCGTGAGCCACCGTGCCCGGCCCACAATTTTATTTTGATAAATGAAAAATTAGAAAAGTTATATCACGGCTGTTGGCTAAAGTCAATGCTTGGTTCATCTGTGGCTATTGACTATAGTCAACGCTCGGCTGTGCGCATTCATCTGTGTCGACTATAGTCGACGCTCGTATCAAAGTGGTTAAGGTTCATACATGTAGTATTTATTGGTACTTCATTCTTTTTTATAACCAAATTATATTCCATTGTGTGGATATATTACATTTTATTTATCCATGTACCAGCTGATGACATTTTCAGTTGGTTCTATTTTTTGGCTATTATAAATAGTGCTGGTATTAACATCTTTGTATAAGTTACTGTGTGGACAAATGTTCTGATTTCTACTGGGTAGATACCTAAAAATGTAATTGCTGCGTCATAAGGCAACTCTATGTTTGGCATTTTGACCAAACTGCTTTCCAAAGATGCTACAACATTTTACATTTCCACCAGAAATGTATGAGAATTTCAATTTATAGAGAAAATTTAAGTGTCAATACTACTGTATTTTAAAATGTTGTTACAAAGGGAAACCAACAGACTACTTTGGAAAGGGCCTCTTGGGGTAGTAGTCACTGGTTAATGCTAGTTAACGTTTACCAAGTGCTTACTATGTGCCAGGCGCCTCTAAATATTATACTCCAATAAATCTCAGGCACCATAAATTATTCAAGACACCAGTATTTTATGTACCTTTAAGAAAGAAAAAACTCTGCCAATTATGACATGCCATCCACTATGTATCCTGATTTCAGAGATGTTAAAAATGTGAAAAATGTTCATAGTATTGAAATATAGTTCTTTAAATGGATTAACTCTTTTAATCTTTATAGTCCTATGAAAATATTTTAAAGATGAGGAAACTGAGGCACAGACATTATATAAATTTCCTAAAATGAAAAAGGCAGTTAAATGGAAAAATTAAGATTTGAACTCTGGTTGATTGTTCTTGGTAGAGTCATATTCACATTTCAGAGATTTTGCCCTCAACTCTTCCTTATCAGGATCAAGGAAGTAGATCCTAGTGATGTTAACACATGGGATGTAACACAGAGCCATATAGAGTCTGTGTTCTATTTAACCTCTAAGCCTCAATTCCTTCATTTATTAGTTATAAAGACTGTTTTGGGAAAGGCATATTAAATTCTTAGCACAAAACAAGTGACAGATACTATTATCATTATTTAATAGTAAAAATATTGTGGTTGAGAGTAGTCCCTCTAGAGCTCTTTTCTTCCTTCCTCCCTCCAGATTTCCATAAAAAAAAAAAAAAAAAGGTCCACCAATAGCTGAATGGATAAACAAAATGTAATGTGGCATACATGTGCAATGGATATTATTCAGCCTTAAAAACAAAGAATTTCTGATACATGCTTACAACATGGATAAACCTGAATAACATAATGCTAAGTAAAATAAGCCCGACACAAAATAACAACATACATAATAACAACATGATTCCACTTAAATGAGTGAGGTACCAAATTCCTATGAATTTGAGTAGTCAAATTCATAGGAACAGAAACACAATAGTAGTTACCAGATGCTAGGAGCAGGGGGTAACAGGGAAGTATCACCTAATATTTCAGTTTGGGAAAATGAAAATGTACTAAAGATAGATGGTGGTGAATGTTGCACAACAATGTGAATATATTTAGATGCCACTGAACTGTACACCTAAAACAGTTAAAATGGTAAATTCTATGTGATGTATATTTTACCACAATAAGAAATAATCAACCAGCCTTGTCAGAAAATAGATGTACATAAGCAATAGAATAATAGGCACCCCATACTGTTAAGGGATCCAAATTCACCCTGAAACTTCTATTACCATGTCTATTCTTAAATGGGAACCAAGAGATTGAATGAATATATTCCATGACATTCACGGAGTGACTGCTATCATATGCTCAAGGGACACTATAATATTAGGATCGACAGATTAATACATAGGTGTATAAGACATGGTCCTTGGCTCAGGAGTATAAAATATAGTGAAAGATACATACCCAAAATAATACATGGATTGGTACTGTATTTGTGTAGGCACTATATAAATTGTATAAAATGCTCTTGAGAGAGTAGAGGGAGAAACATTTGATGGGCACAGCTTAGGGAAGAAAGGGATACTTTACCTAGACCTCTAAAGAAAACTAGAATTTGAAATAATAGGGACAAAGATTCAAGTAAAAATGAAAGAAAGGTGTGGAAGAATAAGTGCCAGCTACAAAGAACAAATAATCTAGGCTGGAAAATGAGACCCACATTGCAAGTGGAGGTGATAGAAGATTAGAGTGGAAAAGAGGATTGTAGTCAGGTTGTAGGAGGTTCTAAATATCAAGCTAAGGCATATAGACTTTATTAATGGAAAGAAAAAAAAAAAAACATGATCAAAATTGCATTTATGAAGATTCATAAAACAGCAGTGCTAAGAAAGAATAGAAATGATAAAGATGGAAGGCTGATTAAATAATGGGCAAAATAGGGAAGTAATAAAGTTGAATGCCTCGACTAAGGTGCTGACAATAGCAAAAATAGAGACATAAAGGCGGTTCAGTCATAAAAGTTTTGGTTGGGTCCCTCTGTTGTACATGATCTTAGGGTATTCCATTCCCTCATTTGACATTCATCACAGTTGCAATTCCTTGCTCATTATTTTTTTCTCATGCTATACATGTCAGCTCAATAAAAGCAGATAAAATATAGTCTTAGTTATTGCTATATTCCTTGGCATATAATTGTTAAATGAATGTAGAACACACTCTTCCCTAAAACACATAGTTCTCTGAGTCAATAAGAACCTCTCTATGTGCAAAAGGGCACTCTAAATTTGGGAATACTGTAAGTTTTTCCACAGCTAGTATGTAAGCCATTGTCAGATACACATCCTATTCTCCAGGGTAGAGCTATTAATGGCTGCCTTTGAGTTAAGCTTGCTTTCCTACTAATTTCAGAAGCAAGCCATCTGCCATTACCTAAAATCTTAGCCATATCACATTTACAAATCAGAAAGCTGTAACTTTAATAAACCAAAACATATATATTAACTAAATAAGCCAAGAAATAGAAAATATTTTAAAAGTCCATGCACAAAAATGAATTACAATACCTTAGGGGGATTAAATGGATATGTTTCTGGTATTTTTATCTCTAGTTGGTATCTTCCTCCTAAAAAGAGAGGAGACAGAAAGTTAAAGAGTGCTGCTCACCTCAAATATGTGAATCCAAATATATTAATAGAACTTTTCAAAGCATCTATTATTTTATATTTAATTATAACAAATTCATTTCAAAATTAAAACCCAGAAGAATAATCAAAAGCACTAGTTTTTAAATTAACTAGTATAATTTCCATCTCCTTTTATTTCCTCTAGTCCACCCTGCTAAAAGTTGCTAAATAACAGAAAAAATGGTCAGGGAAAAAAAGAAGAAAGAAGGCAGAAAGGTATGAAGGCATATATGATACAGAGACAAAGGACAGAGACTATGCCATAAACTAAAAATTCTGCTTTTAGCTGGTTGTCTCAAATGCAAAAATGTCCCAATCTTTTAACTTGCGCCCTAAATTAAATGCCAACACTTCTTGTTAAAAATTTTAAAAACATCAAGGAGTTAATTTACTTCATTAAAAAAAAAAAAAAATTTTAAAAACAAAATTAAACAAGACAATAGACTACTCCTTCCTTTAAATTTGTATATAAAATACAATACTTTACGAAGTAGATATTCTAGCCAGTAATATACAAACAGAAGGCAACATTCTGTTTTCCCTTGAGCAACTAGCAGCATTAAATACGTACTGAAAAAAACTTATCTAGCTTCCCATAAGCATAACTGGAGAATTCAAAGGGGGGATAACAACCTCTCAGGATACTCTGAAGGCAAAGTTTCGGACTGGTGAGAGGCTGGATTCGAATCCTAATTCTAACGAACCTTCTAATTCTAAGAATTTATGACCCATTAACATAAATACTATTACAAAATATAGCAAATGAAACTGTGCTACTGAAATATTTACATATGAAACTATGACTAGGATTATGCTTCAAAACAATCAAGGGATGGGTAAGATCAAAGACTGGCCATGAGTTTATAGTATTAATGCTGGCTGAGAAGTACCTGGAGGTTTCATTATACTATTCTTCTTTTGCATATATCTGAAGTTTCCCATAATAAAAAGTAAAATAAAATAAAAACTATATGCTAGGAGCACTATTAACTTCAAAATTCTATACACTCAGCTCTTGAAAAAGTCAAGCATATATTCTGGATTCTATCAAATCCACTTCCTCCATTGTTATGAATGATGACTGTGGAAAAAGAAAAGCATTTCACTTGGTACCATTTTCTTCAAGCCCTTTTTGGTTCCAATCCTTCTCTTCATGCTAATTCTTTTTCACAGAGTTCCACAGTAACTAATGTATGAATTGAACTAGATGCCTGAAATCACAGAAAACATAATGGCAACAAAATATAAAGAAAAGTAGTCAAAACAGAAGAAAAACAGACAGGTAAGAGAAGGTACCGAGAGATTGTGTAGCTGGACTCTTTTTTTGTTGAACAGTCTCGCTTTGTTGCCCAGCTAGGTGATGCCGCGCAGCCTACCACAGCAACTCAAACCCTGGCTCAACCAACCTCCTGCCTCACTCCCAAGAAGCTGGAACAGCATCCCAACCCAATGCCCGCTAATTTTTTTATACCGTATTAGTTGGCCATAAATTTCTATTTATCAGTAGAGACGGTCGCGCTCTTATGCTCCAGCTGTTCCGAACTCCTGACCTTGACAACCCCCCCTGCCCCCAAAGCTAGATTACAGCTGAGCCACCCGCCCGGAACTTAGCGTGATCTTTATTCAGCAATATAAATGCTAACTTCAAATACAGGTATAATTGAGGCAAGCATGCCTTCTTTCCTTCTAGAATTCTTTTTATTTTCTCGCTAAATCCAATTACCATTCTATAAATCATGCACAAAGTCTCTCCGATATTCAAAACAATCTCTTAGAGGCCATGTGAGACCTAGAGATACGACAAAATCTGAATCTTACAGTCTCCCCAAAATAGTTTCTACTATATTAACACATTTATACTCTGCTCCCATAATAACTTGACACTTTCAATAATACTCACCACTACATTTTAACCATTCATTATTACAGCAATACAACTAGTGACATTACCGACTACATTATCTTATATAATAGCTTTACGATATGTAACATTATTTCTTAAGAATACTTTTTTTTTTGGAGACAAGTCACACCTTTGGTTGCCCAGGCAGAGTAGTGGCATGCATCAGTGTACTCACAGCAACTCAGAACTCTGGCCAAGGATCCTCTGCCTCAAGCCTCACCGAGTCTGGACTACAGCATGACCACCATGCCGCTTAATATTTTTTTTTTTTTTTTTTTTTTTTTTTTTTTTTTTTTTTTTTTTTTGTTTTTTTTTTTTTTTTTTTTTTTTCTATCGTTATAGTCGGCCAATTATTTTTTAATTATAAGTAGCGAAAGCTCTTCTACCACGTTCGAACCCTGACTGACATCCCCGCCTCCGACCAGAGTGCAGATTAAGCGAGCCACCGTCCCGCCGAAAGCCTTGTAATTTACATATATAAACATAAAATTTAAATTAACCACCCAAAGGAATGGAAGAGGTGAATTTAAACTATCACAAATATCCCAAAAATACAGAACTGTCAGAAGAAAGGCTAAAACTACATTTTTCTCTTTATATTTATTTATTTTTTTTTTTTTGAGACAGAGCCGCTGTGCCAGGCAATGAGTCGTGGCTCACCAGCTCACAGCAACCTCAAACCCCTGGCTCAACAATCCTGCTCCTCAGCCATCCCAAAACGACTACACATCCGCACATGCCCAGCTAATTTTTCATAAATAGTTGGCCCAATTAATGTCCTTCTGTTTAAGTAAGATGTGTCCGTCTGCCACGGTTCGAACCCGACGTTAGCAACCCGCCTCGGCTCCCAGAAGCTAGATACAGCAGATCACCACTCGCCGTCCAGATAATGCAAAGAAATTAGAAACTGATTAAGAACAGACAATAAGCCAATTTCTGTGGGATTCACTCCAATCGATACTGTAACACACAAAAAGACGCCCATTACTATTGGTAAACAGGACCATCTATAAACGGCCTTAACTTTTAAGTATATAAAAACTCAAACAAGATCCTGTAATAAACCATCCAAAAATTAACCTAAGAAGAAAAGCATCTAGTTAATGTCCTTGAAGGCGTTTCTCAAACAAAATAAACACTTACTCATGTTATGAAAAAAAAGAACCAAGTTAACTACCTCAATATATACAACAAACATTAACTCTAATCTCAGCAATATAGCTCATCTTGTTTGGCAGCAACATGGAATCAGCACTTAAAATCAAACCGTGGGCCATGGTGCCACCCTAAACAACCATCTGGAGTGCCTGAGTAGGCAATCCTCGAGTCAGGATTCGAAACCACCCTGAGCAAGACCTGTCCTACAAAAAAAAAAAATTGACCAAAGCAAAAATAAAAAGTAAAATATCCGAAGCCAGCCTGATCCCACCACTCAGAGCTAACCAGCATGAGCTTGATCCAGAATTGAGGTGCGTAGCAGCTAACCACGCCACTAGCGAACACAGTGAGACTGTCTCAAAAAAAAAAAAAAAAAAAAAAAATCAAACTTGTCTCTAACCAGTAAAGAATATGGTATATTTATATCTTTTTTTTTCTTTTTCTCAGCTGTGGACAAAGCTACATTTATATCTTAATTATTCTACAAGTAAGCATACATTATCCAATTTTTAAAAATGCATCTACTTAAGGTAATGAACATTCTACCTATCTAATTTAGCTCAGGAAGTACTTTGTTTACAAAACTCAATTTGCTGGGAAAGCTCCAGAATAATGCTAATTGCCCTATTGTCTTTTAAAAATGCAATCAAAACCACCTTAAAAAATAATTCAAAAATAACTATTAACATCTGCCTTCAAGAAGAAGCTAGTATATGATTACATAAAGCATCTCCTCTTAAGACAAGCACTGATTTTTTTAAGATAACGAAAGGTCTCCTCTACATTTAGTGACTGTCAAAAGGACTAAATGAAACAGCATCCATAAAAGCATCCAGACCAGGCCTGGCATATATGAGTACTCAATAGACAATATGAAAAATTAAGTGATATCTAGAAATAGTTCTGTAAACTGTAAAACAAAAAAATAAAATTTTAGCACTTAAAAATTGGTAAAATATGCTAAAGACATTCTAGAGTCCTTAAAAATATGGATGAAAAAAATATTCAAGATTATTAGGTTTTTCTAAAATATGGGGGATAGTTGATCATTACACAATTATAAAACTATTCAAAGTAGACTTGACACCACTCCAATATTCAGTCAATCATGATTTCCATAAGTGATTTAAAGCATACATAGGCTTTCAAGTCAAAGGTCAAATCCCAGCTATGCCACTTAGATGTTTGACCTCAGACAAGTTACTTTATTTCTCTGAGATTAAGTTTCTTCATCTATAAAACAGTGATCACTGTACTTACCTTGTAAAATTTGTTGTAGGGATTAAATGAGAAAATACATGTAAAGCCCTTGTAAGTAAGAGTGACATATTCTGCTATATGCTTTCTGTTAAACAAATAATTGAATGCCTATTATATGCAAGAACCTTGGCTATGCTATGTAACCCAAACTGACAATAATATTCGTTAATGAAGACTTGCCTAATAAGAAATTAAGACTCTATAAAAAGCTTCTTTCTGTATCTAACCATGCAATCTCATGGCCTAAAGTACCTACAGACTTACTTTGTGAACACAAAGTTCAGCAAAGCTGCCTCCTTTCTTTTTTAAGTCTTCAAATGACCATTAAAAGCTTTCCAGAATAAAGAAAATAAATATTTGAACTATAGCCTGTAGGAAGACATATGAGTGAATGAAATGCTAAATGACAAACAGGAGATTTAAAAACAAACACAACATTTTATCAGTCAGATATCTAAGGCAAGGATTGTTACAGATACCATATAAAGGGTAACAAAAAGTCTGTAGTCCTTATTTGTTAGAGACTTAACATGCCAGATGTTTTATTCTGTTAAAATCTAATCTATATAACCTGCAAGTTGGCTCTGGTCAATCTACTATACTAATATTTTTTGGGAAAAAAATAAGCTAAAATTCAGTTAGAAAAATCAGTATATATTAAGTACCTAAATTCATTATTTAAAAATTGCTGTGTATCCTAGGCCAACTGAAGTTACCTTCCATATAGTTTATAGATGCTTAAGATTTTCTGATTTAATGTTTCAGATAAGTTCTAATACACACAATATTTTGATACAGAAAAAAGTACTTGCCTTCATATGGTGTGTCTGGAGGTCCTGCTATTTCTCCTCTTAATTCTGTAAAATTCTCATCTACAAGATCTACTTTAATTTGATTTTTGCTCGTCTTAAAAATAAACAGAAAATAAATGTTAGTTATGTCAGCAAGAAAAAAGCCTACTTTAATGTATTACCTAATGAAACCCCCTCTTTCATAAGCTTGATTATCTGCTCTAGTAAAAACAATGGTCTGTGCTTTTCTAGGACTTAGCTAGTTTTAGGAATATTTAAAATAAACTAAGAAATTTTAATACCTCAATTTTTTAATGAAATAACATCACTAGGAATAAAAGTATATGGTTTGTTGACTCTCTAGGAATACTAGAGAAAAATAGTGCACAATCTATTTTGTTTGCCAACCGTGTTATGTTAGGTCCAAAGTGATAAATCTACTCATCTGTAGATGAATGCTAAGATACTATACCCCCAGGATACATAAGCTCTATTCATATAAACAGAAAATTCAGGGTCATTAAAAGCCATAAGCTCTCACTTGAACTAATCATAACTCTAGATGTTTAAGTTTGACAACATCCGCTAGGATGGTGAAAGCTATAGGCAATGTTCCTCTCCATGGGAATTCCAGAAGCCTAAATGCCTCACTAGAATCTTCTAATGCTTTTTCAATTTGTTTTTTGCTTAATTTACTTCAACAACAACTACCTACTCTCTGAAACAGATTTCTACTTTAAATTTATCTATATCTACTTATTTTGCACTTTACACTTCTCAATGTACTTTGATATCTGTAGTATTACTTGAGTCTCTTTATCTTGTGATAGGTCCATTCTCAGAGTCATGGTGACATTAAATGATTCAGAAAACCACCCAGTGGGATTTACACTAATGTTCTACAATGACCAGCCTGCAAAAGGGCTTGCCACTCATATTCCCAAACATATACTATAAAATACAATAAATCCTCTCCTTCTATCCATTTGTTTAAACCTAAATCCCTAAAATACAAGTTGTATCTTCATTTCTTTTATTAAGATTCCATGTTTTTACCTAATCGACACGATATATCTACTCTTAAGAAAGAAAGCCTCACCCAAGATTTTAAGAGTAAAGTGTTCTGCTTTTGGACCCACCTTCTTAAAATTGATTACTAGATGGAACAGTGTAAGAATTATTGTTTTAAGGTCCTTGGCTTCCTCCCTCACTCCCAATAAAATACACCATTTTTTTTTTTACTCTTTTTCTATACTAAATATCTTTAGCACAGAATACTTAGTATGGAGACAAAATAACTTAAAACCCAAACTTTTAAAATTTCACATGACTCTTAATCTTTTAATAAGAACATAGGATTAAAAACTTACTTTCCCCTTTTTAAAAGCATTCTAATTAGTATTGGTTTATTTCATAACCTTTTTTGTTTGGAAGTATTTCATATTTTTCTGAAAATATTTTAATCCAAAATTATAAATATGCATGAGAAAGTTCTTCCTAATGTCCAAAAATCATTAACAACCTTGGTAATTGTGGTAGAGGAGAAAATGTACATTTTGGTAACAGTAAAAATACTTTGTCCAGTATGCACATGAACAATGTTAAAAAGAAAATTGGAAGCATCCAACTTTCACTGACAAATTTATGAAGCCACAAATATAACTAGACTTCCATTCTTCCTCTTAAGACTTCTAAACAAAAAGAGAGTAATCAAATCTTGCAAATTATGAATACTTTCAAAGACATATATAGCTTCCCACAATAACCCCCTTCAAAAAGAAGTATGTAGGCCGGGTGCAGTGGCTCACACCTGTAATCCTAGCACTCTGGGAGGCCGAGGCAGGAGGATTGCTCAAGGTCAGGAGTTTGAAACCAGCCTGAACAAGAGCGAGACCCCGTCTCTACTATAAATAGAAAGAAATTAATTGGCCAACTAATATAGGCCACTAATTATACAAAATTAGCCGGCATTGGTGGCGAATGCCTGTAGTCCAGCTACTTGGAGGCTGAGGCAGGAGGATGCTTGAGCCAGGAGTGGAGGTTCTGTGAGCTAGGCTGACGCCACGGCACTCACTCTAGCCTGGGAACAAAGCGAAAGACCTGTCTCAAAAAAAAAAAAAAAGAGTCACAGCTACAAAATCCCTCAGGTACCTTCTCTACCTGTCTGTTTTTCTTCTGTTTGACTACTTTTCTTTAATTTTGTGCCTTAGTGTTTCTGTGATTTCAGGCATCTATTCAATTCATCATTAGTTACTGTGGAACTCTGTGAAAAAGAATAGCATGAAAGAAGGATTGGAACCAAAAAGGGCTTGAAGAAAATGGTACCAAGTGAAATGCTTTCTTTTCCACAGTCATCATTCATAACAATGGAGGAAGTGATTGATAGACCAGAATATATGCTTGACTTTTCAAGAGCGAGTGTATAGAATTTTGAAGTAATAATGTCCTAGCATATAGTTTTATTTTATTTATTTTTATAGGGAAACTTCAGATATATGCAAAAGAAGAATAGTATAATGAAACTCCAGGTACTTCTCAGCAGCATTAATACTATAAACATGGCCAGTCTTTGATCTTACCCATCCTTGATGTTTTGAAGCATAACCTAGTCATAGTTTCATATGTAAAATTTCAGTAGCACAGTTTCATTTGCTATATGTTAATAGTATTTATGTTAATGGTCATAATCTTAGAATTAGAGGTTCGTTAAATTAGGATTCGAATCCAGCTCTCACCAGTCCGAAACTTTGCACTTCAGAGTATCCTGAGGGTTGTTATCCCTTTGAATTCTCCAGTTATGCTTATGGGAACTAGATAAGTTTTTTCAGTACGTATTTAATGCTAGTGTGCTCAAGGAAAACAGAATGTTGCTCTGTTTGTATATTACTGGCTAGAAATACTACTTTCGTAAAGTATTGTATTTATATACAAATTTAAAGGAAGGAGTATCTATTGTCTTGTTAATTTTTTTAATTTTTTTTTTTAATGAAGTAAATAACTCCTTGATTTTTTTAAAATTTAACAAGAAGTGTTGGCATTTAATAGGCGAAGTTAAAAGATTGGGACATTTTTGCATTGAGACAACCACTAAAAGCAGAATTTTTAGTTATATGGCATAGTCTCGTCCTTTGCTCTGTATCATATATGCCTTCAATACCTTTCTGCCTGAACCTCAGTTACAGAGGACAAAGTTTAAACAGGTTACATAACAATGTACTTTGTACTTAGTGCTTATGATAAAATCTTTCAATTTCAGTTTTTCCACTAGAATGTAAGCTCCCAAGTGGCAGGGATTGGGTTTGTTCACACACTGAGATCACTTTCGGCGTATGTAGCCCTAGTAATATTTGAAGAATTTTATGATGACATGATACAGTATCATTTGCTGAGGGACAAGTATTAGAACTGTTTAAATTCTACACTGTTCTTATTGGCAATAATGCTCATTTTTTAACCTCATCCAAATTAGCTTCAACATTGTGTGATTTTGCATACTTTATGTATGTACACTTAATAAAATAGTTATTTAAAATTGTTTGAGGAGCAGTACCTTTTATTCATCTCTTTCCTTTTTGCCTTAAAATGCCTTGGAGACCCCAGGGAACATTAGGGGGGAAAAAAGTATAAAAAACAGCTGTAGAGCTGTCCCCACAAAAGTAGTGCAGTGATAACACAATCTTCAAATTTCACCCAGAAGCTTCAGTCCCTTGGTTGTTGTAGTCATTAAAGTGAAGCAACTTATTTTGTTATTTATTTTGGAATTACATATCTGTTTTAGATTAGAAACAAACTGTGAAATTAATTTATAAAATAGGGCTTTCGAAATCAAAGGCTTTGTTGTTAATTGTTAGAAAAGAGAACCATGCTACTACTTCTATCCAGGAGACTCATTTAATTCTGAGATAAAGTTTTCTCATTTTACACAATAGCAATAAAATTGAGACCAGATGTACTGAATGAAAACAAGTAGACAGAATAACAAAAGCACACACATCTGACTCCAAAGCTTGCCTTTTAAAACTGTCATCTTTGCCTTTTTTTTTTTTTTTTTTGAGACAGAGTCTTGCTCTGTTGCCCAGGCTAGAGTGATGCGTGCATTCAGCCTAGATCACAGCAACTCAAACTCCTGGCTCAAGCAATCCTGCTGCCTCAGCCTCCTGATAGCTGGGACTACAGCATGCCCACCATGTCGCTAATTTTTTTATATATAATTAGAGCAATATTCTTTCATATTTAATATGAGAGACAGTGCTCGCTCTTGCTCACACTAGTTTACTCTGACCTCCGAGCACAGATCCGACCCACCTCATCTCCAGAGGTGCTAGGATTACAGGCGTTGAGCCCACTGTGCTGGCCTATCCTTTTGCCATTTTCAACTTCTTTTGTAAATTTTCCCTGACACTGAATTGTTAGTTTGTGGGAGACATGGGAATTGGAGTTTGGATTGTGAAATAAAATTTGGAATCGAACTGTGGTATAGAGGATAATGTTGCTGTATGGAAAAGTGAGCTGTGAAAAATCTTTGGACTTAACTTTTCATTTTCTTTTATTTTAGTTATCTACAGATAAAACCCACCCTAGACATATAGAATGTTTTTTATAATGGGAATTCATCAAGGCAATGTATTTTCTTGAGCTGATTTAGTAAATTTTTCATACACTGATAGTGTTCTTTCTCTAATGGAAAAAGATCCATTTTTCGCTGATTATAATTTGGGGGTGATGTGGACAGAAATAGAACAGAGGTATAAAAATTATATTATTTAGCATTTTACTACCCAGAAGATTGGGCCATCCAAGCAGCTTTTCAAATCCTCTATCCTCCCCTTCCTCAAATATTTAATCAGGATCTTTTAGTACCTAACATTTAGGTTATTTGCATACTGTCTTTTTTTGAGACAGAGTCTCACTTTGTTGCCAGGCTCAGAGTGAGCCTGGCGTCACACTGCTCCACAACCTCAAACTTCCTGGGCTCAAGCCATCTTCCTGCCTCACCTCCCTCACCTAGCTGGGGACATAATAAGCAGCGCCACAATGCCTGGCCTAAATTTTTATATATATATTAGTGCCAATTAATTCTTCTATTATAGTAGAGACGGGGCTCCTCTTGTTCAG